CGTCTGGGCACCAGTTCGAGATGCCCAAGGGCACGCTTCAGACTGGGGCCCACTCCAAGGAGGCATTTTGCAGACCTGCATCACAAGCTGTTGTTGAGTTTTGCCATCTTTTCTATCCTTTCCACCCCCAGAAAACCCACCTGTTTGGGTTTTGCTTCAGCCACTTCATCCCAGCGACGGCTTTAGGTGCAAGGCAAAAGCCAGGTTTTGCAGCTACGCTCGTAGCTTGGTTAAAAGCCCTCAACGCCATCACTTCAGCCACCACGTTGGCAGCGGGGGGGTTTTAACAAGCAGGTACCAGCAGCCCCAATCCAAAGCGTCTCCCAAATTCCCAGAGTTTGGGTGGGGCCTTTTGCTTGGTGGTCGTTGGTTTTGACCTAGAGCCATTAATCCCTTCCTTAGCATGGAGAAACATGGGCTAGAGCTGGAAAAAACCCACACCAGCTCAGCGGGAATGGTTTGGATGTCTCCAAAAACGGGGAACCCCTCACCCCCCTAGACTAGAGGTAGCCACTGCAACCTGTTCAGCCTCCTGACCTCAGGACCACTGTATAAATTAATTCAAAATTGACGGGGATGGTCTTTGGGTCCAGTTTTGCCAGCCCAGCTCCAACTCAGAGAGCACAGGACATCACTGAAAGCACCACAATGCCACATGGGAGCACGTCACGCTCCCCAGAGCGGCTCTGGGCTGCACACACTAACCACAGCCCCTGCTTCTGAACCCACAAAACCAAGAGCTAAAGCAGCTCCTTGCTGTTTTGGTTGCAAATGCTTCGCTTCCCGAACCCCTGTTTTCACATGCTTCCTTCTTGGCAGCTCAAAACCCTGGTCTTTGTGTGCAGGGAGCACCTGCGGGCAGGATCAGCCCTCGAAACACACCCCAAATAGGCTCATGCGCAGCTTTGAGTTTGAGAAGTGGTGCAGTGTCCCCAGCTCTAGGCTATGAGGGGTGCCAAGGCGCTGGCTCAGGCACAGAATGTTCAGGGTTGGCAGGGACCTCTGTGTGTCACCCAGCCCAACCCCCTGCCCAAGCCGGGTCACCCAGAGCCGGCTGCACCACAACCCGCCGA